CGACTGTTTGGAAGCGTATGTCACACAATGGGACATCATTCTCAAGATTTGCGAGGATAACTCAAAAGATATCGATTCTGCTATCTTCAAAAAAGTCTCAAACATAATACTGAAGCATGCAGCACAAGAGTACCGTATAAGTCAGGTGATTTAAATCATGATTGAAACCACTTGAAAAAAATCAAGCCAACCCTGCCTGTAGTGGACACTAGCGCTGAGCTAAATTGTCCTACTGGGGCGATCGTTGTGGCGGACCGGAATACCTTGTTCCAGGAGTTAAAGATGCCTTGGTTGGGTTGTGGTTCTTGGTTCTTCCTTAGCTGTTGAAACAGAAGGGTGCACTGGTTCCTTTTTTTTTAAACAAAAATACACTTCGGAAGAAAATCCAAACGGCTGCGCCAATTTTATTGATTAATTTGAAACTTGCGTTTTTAAAAACACTTTTATTTCAAAATTAATACCATTTTTATAATATGGATTTTAAATGTATGCGACCGAACCTAACCGTACACTGACTATCTTTAAGCTTAAAGCCCGTGTCCCATGCATCCGTTTGTACGATGATACGATGGTACGAAAGTGTTTCTATTGGTTGGAGATCTGTCAATTCGTCCGTCGTCGTATCAAGTTAAAAACTTTTTAACTTTATACAATGGTCGTATGGTTTTTAACCTCACATTCATTGTTTACATATATATTTTGTTGTTACGTTATATATGTTGAATTTATTGTTAGTTTGAATAATGAAAACTAAACTTTCAGGACAAAATTGAATTAACAAAGTGCTTCTGTTTTTATTATTATGGATTAGGCACAACAAGAAATTTTGGGTTCCAGACCATATTTCATAACATAAAATAAACGAATATTTCATAAGTGTTTTTTAATTGATTTGGACCGATCCCTGAGTGGTATCCGAGAATCTAATAACCGCAGTCTTGCCGTTATACGGTTTATCAGGAGATTTTTCACTGATATTGTAGGTACTCTCAGAATATATGTTCCTCCTCAATTTTACTTCCATCGGCTTAGATATCTATTGCTTGAATTGAATGAACTTTTTTCCGAAACCTTATCTAGGCATAAACGCCGGAATTTTGACGAAAACAAACAAATAAAATGAAATTTTTGAACATTAATTTCATAATAATATTCAAAACGCACTTAAATTACATCGAAAATCGTAAAGTCGAGACATGTGCTTCGTCTACGTTATAATTATTATTTATATTAAGTTATATCTACGATTTAATACTTGAGTTAAAATTAAGCGTTGAACCGTTTCTTTATTACATGTAACTAACCAATAGATAAATTATATTTAATATAATTAAATATATACATCCATTTTTTATCGTTTCTTAAATATAGCGTATATTGCAAACTCATATTGTTTTTCGATTCTCTATCGTTCGCTGAAGTTTTCGCTCTGGAAACTGGACCATTCTGTATAGATATTTTTTTATGAAATTATTGTTTGATCATGATTTGTTTTCTTTTTTTTAAATGAAAACTATTACAAAATTAACTTATCTAGTCAACGTTTTCCTGCACGTGCAGGTTCTTTGTTACCTAGGTGGAATATGTTTTACTCTATTTAGCGTAAAAACCTAATTGTAATTTATTTATTAAATGTAGAGTGATACTTGATGACAAATATTGATATTGGAAATTAGTATATTACCAATTGCTGTTAGACAACGGATAAGCTTAAGACATTCACCGAAAATGTGTCGATTATTGAACTTGGTCTGTGTGGTTTCAAGAGGATTCACAAAATCTCATGAATGGCATTTTTTTCTATTTGCAAATCCACTGTGAAACTCGCCTGATCCATGAATATATTTTTTTTAATAATTAGTCGATCTGGACTATTATTATCGATTTATGATCCAGCGTCAAAAGTATATTCAAAATAAATTGAAGTTTTTTGAAAATCTGTGGGTAAGGGACCTTAAACAGCCTGGATTGGAAACGCATGTTTTCTATAGAAGCATGCCAAATACATTCGGCATCCGCAGATATTGGTGGACAGAGATGTTGGGATTATTAAGTACCAATTTCTTGAATTTAGTTCACTTCAGTAAAAACTTTTTTAAATGTTTTTTTTTCTATATGGCCTAAAGATTAGGTATTCTTAACTTTTCTTTTCTTATCATTTCTGCTGTAGCTTCTTTTATAGTTAAATTATGCTGATACTACAGCAGAAACGATACTACCGTTATTTGCATAGTACAATCGGCATACGTAATCATATCGTACTTATCTACAAAGTTTGATTGCTTCTCAAAACTTCGCGAACATGTTACCTTCTTAAAATTACCAACTATCCTGCTGGATTTCGACTCATTATTCCTCCAACAGTAAAATCATTACCTACATTTAATTAACTACTATCAATACCGGTAAAACTTTGCACGTTTAGATCTGATCAACGTCAGTTATGCCTAAACTCTACTAAACTTACGTCTCGTCCTTTACTTAACTGACGGGAAAACCGTTTATTTCCACAAGCACGAATATTCGCAATATCGTTCACATTGATAAAATAAAATAAAATCTGTGATAAAAATTAGAATTAACACAGGCGAGTATAAGTGGAGAATGCGCAATACTTATAAGCTAATGTTTTTTTATCAGCAAAACGCTTTTCACGTCGATTTTCTCCACGATAAACTCACAATTAATTGTGTAATAAATAGGAATAAACAGTTAATGCGCTATATAATTTCGAACTTCTCGATCTCAATGCTGCAAATTTGGCATATCGAAGAGAAATGAAGGCACAATCAGTTAAAATTGTCATCCTTCTTTAGGACAACGCCAGGCCTCATTCAGCAAAGGCCATGAGGTATAAATGAGACAAGGCTGGGAAACTTTGGACCATCCCCTCTACAGACTTCCAGACTTGTCACCTTGTAACTTTTATCTTTTTGAAACCCTGAAAGATAAGCGATATCCTAGTTTGAATAGTGAGAACCTATTCAAATAAGCATAAAAACAAAGTATTACCGATATATGCAAGATGAACAACCCAGATTAATTTCAGTACGTCAAATTGGTTGTCATTCGGGTTTGTTGTCATTATTAGAATGTATGCATACAAGGTGATTCAAAATTGGCGTCATTCTTTTTATGGGGTTATAAGGACTCACTTGGAGAGCACGAAAAAAATATTTACATTTTTTTTTTCAAAATTTTTTTCAAACGCGCGAGCGTCTTCCTATCGTGTTCACGATTGGCGTTGTTTGCTAATAAACTGTCCGGTAAGCCAGTAGATAACTTTTGGATGGCAAAAATAGAGAGAGAATTGGAAAATCGAAGAACACGGTTTATAAAGAGATTAATTAAATTGTCAAATTAAAACAAGTTTGTGACATACATCATACACATATTTGACGTCTTTCACAAAGTCTGATTTACCAAAATCGGCAAAAATTGCGTTTAGGAGTCGTCTACTTTTATGTGTGTGTCCCCAACTGAACATATCTCAATATTATAGCAATTCGCGAGTTCAACGATGGTGGCGCTGCGAAACGTTAAATTACTCGTTGTCGAGTGACAGTTGAGACAGTCAGACTTGTTTATTTATTGGAGTTGATAACATTTATAACATAAAACAGTACTTTTCAAAGTTGATTAGAACAAAACAAATCACAATCAGATTGAAACCCGAATGTGACACCAATGTCAACAAAACAAGTGTCAAACTACTTAACTTGTAGTTATAATTTTAGACCCCAGGGGGCGTCTGGATTTTTGAACTCGCGAATTGATCGGTTCACATTATATCTAACAAGATGATACTATACTTTTTCATTTTATTTATATTTAGTCATTATAGACCTAACATATTTCATTCATTTTTAGGAGGCGGTCTTCCAGTCGGAACGGTGGTATTAGTGGGTAAGTTACCTACAGTGAAATAAAACTTTTTAAATTATAACACAAAAATATTTCAGAGGAAGATTTCCGAGGTCTCTACTCAAAAATCCTATTGAAGTATTTTCTAGCCGAAGGTTTAGTCTCAAAACATTCTACCTTAATTGCTAGTCAAGATGTAAATCCTGCTAAAATCGTAAGTTTAATTAAGAGATATCCATAGTCTAATGCTGATAGGTCGTAATCTACAAAACAATTAAAAATTGTATTTTTATGTCAAAGACAAAAAGTCGTACATTACTCTGACACTAAAATTATTAACCTTTGACAACATCAATCAGTAAAGTGCGATTTGCGATGATAGTTTTCATACACTATGTTGTATTGATATAGAACAGACTATTATCACAGTCTTGAAAAGACGTTTCGCCTTAAATTTAAACAAGATTATTTTTAATTTATTAATTTATAGTTGTATCCATAGATAAAGTAGGACCTATGAAAGTCAAGAAAACTCAGCACATGATTTGCACACAAAATTTCAATGCTTAATAACTAAAATTTATATTGTTCCTTGCAGCTGAAGGAGCTCCCTGCTGTAATTGAAAGTGATCCAGAGCCGGATATAAAACAGGAAGGACAGGCCATCACTGATAAAATGAAAATTGCATTTCGATATCAAAATCTGCCCACGTCAACAGCTGCTCCAAGAAGCAAACATATAGGCCACCATTTCGATTTATCACGAAACATATCATTTAGTAATGTCGATAAATCTGATATCGATTTTTGGACGGGTGAAAAATTGTCAACAGGTAAGGTTTTAATAGTCACAGCATTTAATATATGTAATTCAAATATTTGTAATTTATTCATTCTGTCTGCATCGTTTTCCATTCCTTTTTTATATCCGACCCATCGTATAGCGTCGTTCACTTTACGCTGTTGTCTTAAATCTTCGTGTGTTATTGTATGTGTCTATTATTGCCTGCAATATTAATGTTCAGATGGGGCGCTTTTTTCAACTCGCGTTTTACCTGCAGTCTAGATAATTAAATAAACTGTGTAACTACAAATTTATAAGAATAAACTTTACTATCATTTGCAGCACTGTTGGTGTTTATGTAAACATTAAACTCTAAAGTTGAATAAAAAATTGTTGCTGCAGTTTCAAACTGTACAGCATTTTTAAAGCTCTTTAAATGTCTGGTACATTGACGATAAATGAATCAATCATATCGCATTAGTAAAATGTTATTTTTACTAATGTGTGAAACTAGAGTAAATGCTTTTTTCAACTGGTGTGCCATCGATTTATCAAAACTATCAACAAATAAACATTCGATTCTAAACAAAAAAGGTTTCTTGCGTTTTATTTGTACAACTCGTCATTTTCGAGTGAAAAAAATATCATCGTATTAATGCACGTCTTAAGGCGCGTTTAAATCAGACCAAACAGGAGCGAACGAACAAAGAAACGAATTCGCTCGTTCGTTCGTTTTGCGACGTTTTTATTTGAACGCTCATTCGCCTTTGCTGTTGATCCGCGTATTCCGTCGAACAAGCAAAATGTCGGATACAGACGACAACATAATTATATCTAGCGCTGCTAGTTTTTTAGTCATGGCAGGACTTTTAAGAAAGATGAGAAAAAAGAAGAGTGTATGGACTTGTTGAAAAAAAGAAACGCAACTAGGGGTAACATTTTATTAATGGATTTAACCGTTCATCATTCATTTCATTCTATAAACATGATTTTATTTTATTTTTTTATTATTCATCATTAATAAGTATTATTTTTTACCTGTATAGTAGTTAGTAATAAAAATATTCATTATTCAACAAATACCGAGATGAACCGCATTCGTTCATAACCCACAGAAATGTGGGAATGCTGTCCACACTGAGCACGAATTTTCTTTGATGATTCGCTAATTTACCGACACGCGTCGGAACTTGACCGAATGCAAACGAATTCGTTCGCTCGGTTCCGTTCGTCATTTAAATAGACACAACCTTAAGCGAACGAATTCGTTCGTTCGGTCCTGTTCGGTCTGATTTAAACGCGCCTTTAAAATCCTTACTCAAACATTAAGTTTAATGAGTCGGATTTTAATTAAAACATTAACATATGCAAACAGATGACTCATAATCGGACCTGACAATCACACCAAGAACTAAATTGTTCAAGATTGTTGTAAAGTATTTTTTTTTATTAAATTAATTAACGGAACTCAAAATTAACATTTAACAACAATTTGTGCAAAATGTCCTCCCCAGCCGAACTACAAGTATTTAGACTCCAAAATCAAAAAAAAAATGGGTGTCAATAGCATTTGCATATGTTAGTATTTAAAACTAGTATTTTAGGTAAAATCCCACTATGACTACCTACTGATTAAATCAGTGATAATCTCAAAAATGGTGGCTAGTAGCCAACCGACAAACATCGCAAAAAGTAAGAAGTAGATTTGGAAACAATTTATGTATTTTTGTGCGGAAAAAATTATAACATGGATCGAGATACTCCAATCTCTGAACTTGCTTCTATTTGAAACAGCTCGGCTTACAACATTAGTAAACAAAGTGGAGAGGAATACAAAGAACACACTCTTAAAACCCTCTGAAACGTTACAGCTAGTCTGCTGATGGAGAAATGGTTTACTACGGGAGTATGGAATAAAAATAAACCCGTTTGAAAAATTTGAGTTTAAACCAGCGCCAGATGCAAGAAATGCACAACGAAAGGATTTTTTTCCTTCGATTTCGATTATACAGTGTGTCTACTTAAGTTCGCACCATATGGAAAAATGTTTTTTTATTAATTGTACGAAAAAATGTTATTTTTCATAAAAAGTTCTTCTTGGTCCTAATCATTAAATGCAACCATCAGATATTAATGGTTTTCAGTCGTATACGAGGTATATCAGAAAATATGAATGTGGTTCAAGAATAATGTACCTTTATTTTTGACAATATCGGAAATTGTTATTAAGAAAAGTTGATGAGAGTTGAAAAGTACGTTCAGATATCTAATTGCACTTATCTATGATGAACATCAAGTTTTGTTATTTTTAACTTTTTCATTATCAATTTTACGAAAAAAAAGTAACTCTTTATAAAAAGTTCTGCATGTTCTAAAAGCTTAAATACAATCATCACACATCAAATTTTGCAGTCGTATCCGAGATTTGTTCGAAAATATGAATTTTGATTTAAAATTTTCGATATTATCAAAAGTGTAGATACTTTAATCTTGAGCAAAATTCACATTTTCTTATACTTCTCGTATAAAAGGATTCTGAGATATTATTTATATATTTTACTATTTTCTAACTTTTCATAGAAAAAAATGTCGGGTCCTCTGCTATTGATGGTCAAAATTATTCAAATATATTTTTTTTCGAATATCCAGGAACTCGCTGTGAATTTATTCTTGTGTAAGACTCATGTTTTGATGAAGCAACCGGGTTCATCCACTTTGGGCAAGTGAGGAATTCTTGAGTGCCTTGGTACAAAAACTACCAGAACTGTTTATTTTGTTTGCTGGAATCAACTGATTTCTTTTGAATTGATTCACTAATTATTTTTGAATATTTTTGGACTATTTGGAAAATCTTGTAGCATTCAGAGCTTTTTCGCAAAGAAATATTTCTATTTCCTTGCGATTTAATAATTTCAAAAAATAAACTGCAAAGGTCGTAGTAAGCGATTATGCTCTTTTATAATAAATTAATTGTCAGGCGTATTATATTTTTTAACTGGCCGACATGGTCAAAGTCTTAGGCCCGGTTGTTCTTTTCGAAGCGTTTTTGTTCGAATCGCGTTCAGCATAAATCACAAAAAAAAACAAGCGTGTTTGGCCTTGACGAAACAAACCCATAGCAAGTTTCATTAAAATCCATCTGAGCACTATCACGATATTACAAAAAAACTTAATTTAAATTTTGTCAATAAAAAAGAGAAAAAATGTCTAAAATTGTCAGTTGGCACGAGAACAGAATTTTTTTGCGCAAAAACTATGATTGCTACGACTATGATTGCTAAGATTTCACAAAAGGGACCAAAATGTTAAAAGAGCATTAGTACATCTACTCAAAAAAAAATCCAACTGCCAAATAAAAACTTTTGGTAGTTTTTGTACCAAGACACTAAAGAATTCGTCTTTGCTCAAAATGGATGATCTCGATTATCCATCTTAAATTTTCCATCCAGTTTCATTAAAATCCATAGTACCATTCTCCCGATATTTCAAAAAAGATAATTTTTTTTGAAGAACTTGAAGAATCTATAACAGAAGAGCCAGCCATTTTTGCTTAATAAAAGTTAGGTCAAATCGTCTTCTTTTGATCGAAAGAATATCGCAGTATCGTTGTGCTTACGGGACAACCCGATGGATGTTGCATGTTTAGTTTTGGACCAAGCAAAACGTTTTATAAAGAACAAGTTTTTTTCGAAAAATTAATAATGAAAAGTCTCGCATATGATGCGAACTTAAGTAGACACACTGTATTAAGATTTTTTGTTTTTTAGTAAAACGTTGACATGATGTATTTTCGTAACAATTAAGGACCCTCGTTATTAGAATATTTGAAAGGGTAGTACTTTTGAATCACCCTATATATTGCCTGCAGTTGATTTATTTACCAGAATGTATGTTTCTGTATTAGGTTATAGTAGCTTTATCAATCCCGCATATAGTGATCTGCTAAAGACGATTAGGAATAAGATAAAAAAAGGAAAATTTTTCCTCAAGGACAATCCTGAGAAAAAGTCAATACTACGAATAGGAATTCATTCTCTAGGTAAGAATACACTATAGATTTACATATTTAATGGTTTGAAAGCAATACATTTTTAGGATCAGCAATGTGGTTACCTTCCAGAAGTTCTATAAGTTGCTTAAATGAAAATTGTCAAGATTTATATATGTTTTTATTTTATCTTCGAGCATTGGTAAGATCTGCTCATGCAGTAGCATTCGTTACGATTCCAGCGTATTTATATGAAGAGGTAAATTTTAGTTATCATTATAATATAATCAAATTGTTGTACTAAATAATTTTTTGATCGTGTGTAATAAGTATATCTATAAATTTTGCATATTCAATCAGTAAAGTTTGCATTTCGTTTAGGACGTAAAAAACGACTCTCACTCATTGTATTTCTTATCCGCCTGTTCATTCCAAAGTGATCTGGCTGTCAACAGTAATGTTCATGACAGAATGGGGATTAAAAATTTACCCGGACGTAGTCCCTAAAGCTCTTTTATCGCGTTTAAGAAGTTGTGGCGTATTTTCAAGATTTTCTGGTTTATACAGAGTTCCGCAAAAATTCAGGTATTTCCGACAACCGTTCTTCTTCTTCTTCTTCATTAACCGTAGTTTTTCCACTGCTGGAGATAGATCTCTTCAAGTTTATTCCAGATATCTCTATCCTGTGCTTTCTGTGTCCAGTTTCGTCCCGCTACGGCTTTAATTTCATCAGCCCATCTCTTTTTCATAGCTCGCTGCGTGCATTGCAGGTGATGTACGCTGTTTTTTGTGAGGCGCATTGTTTCCAGCCCGTAAGGGTTTACTGGGAGTATGCAGCTATCATACACTTTCCTTTTCAGATTCATAGGGATATATCTGTTCCTGAGTATAAATCCTAGTTTTTTGTATGCAGCCCAACTTTGACCTATTCTTCACGGTATTTCTGCTTTTTGATTTTCTTTATCAATTTTGAGTTTATGCCTCAGATATATATGCTCGTGTACATTTTCGATCTCATTCCCTCCGATTGAAAGTTGAATGTTTTGCGTGCTGAGGATTTTTGTTTTTGTAATGTTGACCTCGAGTCCTATTTTTTGAGAGGCATGGTTTAGTTGTTTGATCATAGTCTTCAGTTCCAATGGGTCTTCGCTTATTAGAACCACGTCGTCCGCAAAACGCAGG